CCATCTGCACAGACCATGTGGGGGAACTAGCATGCTAGACCATACAAGTGCATCAACTGTAAACTCTTGGTGCATAAGAAGTGCCATACACTTTTCACTATTGAATGTGGGCTGCATTCTCTGCCATCAGAACCCATGATGCCAGTGACTGAACCACTCAGGGCTCCGGACCCTGCACTGACAGCAAACACATCTCGTCCTTCAAGTCACCAGGGTGGAACACTTTGCTGAAGATGATAAGGTAAAGAACCAGGGAAAGGGGGAAAGCATCATCTAGTTTGTATCTTCAGGACTTTAATTTGCTCTGAGTGATCAGGAGAGGAAGTTATAGAAAAGTGTTATTGGTTCAACTACAAAACACAGATCAAATTTTTGCGATGAAAGCTGTGAAAAAAGAGCCCATCTATGCATCTAATTCCATCAGGCACAGACAGACAAGCATGTTTTTTAGAGCAGGTATCGAAGCATCTTGTTCTTGTTGGACTACACACTTGCTTTGAGACAGAAGGCAGACTGATTTTTGTTCTGGACTAAGTCAATGAAGAAGACCTAATATTTCTTATGCAACAACAAAAACTACTCCTGAACCACATGCCAGGTTCTACTCTGCAGAGATCAGTTTGGTATTCAGCTATCTTCACCAGCAAGGGATCCTTTACAGAAACCTGAAATTGGACAATTTGTTACTGGACTCAGATGGGCACATTAAACTTATTAATTTCTGCATGTGTAAGGGCTAGGTCCAGCAGATGTGACTGGCACATTCTGTGGCACTGCTAATTAATTTGTGCTAGAAATTATAAGACGAGATTATTATGGTTTCAGTGTGGACTGGTGGACTCTTGGAGTGTTAATGTTCGAGATGACGGTGGGAGAGTCTCCATTTCCTGTTGTGGAGAACTCTGATACTCCAGATGAAAAGTCAATGGCTTATCTCTTGCAACTTATCATGGAAAGCAAAGTCCATATACCATCTGTCTGTAGAAGCCATAAGTGTCCTGCAGAGTTTTCAGGACAAGGACCCACGGGCACGACTGGTTATCCTTAAACAGGATTTGTGGATATTCAGGACCATCTACTCTTTCACAATGTTGACTGGGGCATGATGGAGCAAAAGCAGGTGGTACTTCCCTTTAACCAAATATTTCTGGAGAATTTGGTTAGGACACTTTTGACTCCAGTTTACTAATGAGCCTGTCCAGCTCACTCCGGATGACATTGACATTGTGAGGAAGAATGATACATGAGCATTTGCTCATGATACATGAGTTTTGAGTACAACAATCCTCTTTCGATGTATGAAGAATGGATCTGATCCTTATTTTCTAACTATGTGTTCTGCTTATGTTGCCATTTAATGCCCACAAAAGGTTGTTAGCAATCTAGATTCAATGAACCATTTCATAATTATTTGGAAGCTAATTTTTATGTCTTGTACTTATATTTAGATGTAGTACTTGATTCTTATAGTCTATAATAGAGAATAGTTTATTGCTGCTGTTGATAGAGTTGTGATTTGACTTAAATAATATGATGCAATTACTTATTACCCAAACTTGTAAATGCATTCCATTTACTGAGTGGAGAGAGAATGTATATTATTTTTCTTGGTATTTTAGATAGGAAAAAATAATTTGCCTTTTAAGTATAATGCATTAATTATGTTTGTTTCGCTCCAAACCATATTACTTATATGTTTGGCACCTAGTTTCTGTAGTCTTTGGAGAAATCCAATAACAATTTTGAACAAATCTGCAGAAAAAACATGTATCATAGTTCTATCCCCTTAGTTAACTTTCTTTACTAGAACTACCCTTGAAATACATATAGGATTCATTTCAGGGACTGAGCTCTTTACATTATTTTTATAAAATGAGTGGTTAGCATTTTATAGACATTGTTATAGTACCCTTCTTTTATGCAAAGGACTTTAAAAGTGACCATCATCCTTAGTGATCATAAATTACTATGGTACAATCTTAGTATAATTTAATTGTAGGTAAGCTATCTGATTTTAAACTTAGAGTGATTTAAAATTTGTAGGCATTTATATATTATTATCTTTTTGGAGACCTCATTTCATTAGAAATATAACTTTCCCAAAGGTTATAGTCATATACTGCCTTTTCTTCCAACAGGTAAGTTTGAAAGTAATGAAAATATCACAGGAAAATCTTTAGATACAGTCACACATTCATTTTCAAAGTATACACATTCATGTTAATGCCTGGAATTTGTTTTGAAACACAGAGCAGCATTCACAACATAAACTATAGAGAATTCTGCCTTGCCAAAAATGTGTTTGTGATCTTGCTTTTAACTGTTCCTTTTTCTTAGACAGGCACTCAGAATATACAATAATCACACAAGGAACTTGTTTAAAATGTTTATTACTGATCTTACACAAAAATTCTTTTGGACCTTTGACCCTCATTTTGAGAAATACTTCAAGTTATTTTTTTTGCCCTCCAGTAAAAATAATAGCAAACATCCATAGTATACAATTTTAAGATGGTATAAGCAGCAATGTACAACCTTAGGAGAATTTTTTGAACAATTTTTAAAGGAACGAATGTTAGATATCCTTCTTGCCCTCCTAAAAACAACAACAACATCAGTTTTCTCACAGTGATACAAAGATGAGCATTATTCTTTCATATGCTTTTTCATACGCTTTTTAAGTAGTCAGATTTACTGTGTGTAGTTTATGCAAAATTGCAGTATGTTTTGAACTGTGCTGTATTTTTAGAGTTCTTAAGTGTCATGACAGTTCTTTTCACACTACAGAGAAGTTCTCAGAAAAGGCAACATGGCAGTTTACAGCTAAAATGGCTGGCATTTTTGTGTTCTAAGCAATAATTTACTTTGCAAACAACGATAGTCAGATAATTTCATGTATATGCAGCCTGGATTAAATTTCAAATACATTGTTCAGTGCTGGTACATTTACTCTATAGATTTGTTTTGATTTTGTCATGTGAGATACTGACTTGTTCATCACAATGTAATTGCTATTTCTGTACTTTCTTTTCCATTTTCATATTTAAAAAATTTCAAATAAAAGTTAATACATACACCAAAAAAATCAAAACTGTCTTTATCAGTACTTGACACAATTTCCTACACAGAAGGTCCAAGTCTACAAAAGGCCACAGCACTAGTGAGTAAAGTGCGTTACAGAATACAACCTGAGTGTTTTAGAAATCACTTATATAGGAGGCTGAGGCAAGAGGATCCCATGTGTGATCAGCTTAGGCAGCTTAGTGAGAGCTCATCCGAAGGAAGAAAGCAGGGAAGGAAAAGAAAGAAAAGAAAATAGGAAGGGAAGAAAAAGGGGTGGGATGTAAATAGTACCATTACTTGGGTAGTTTCTTAAAAAGTGAAACATGCACCTACAAGTTTACCCCGCCATTCCATTTCTAGATATTTGACCAAGAGATCAAAGTAAGTCTCCATAAGGACTTGTATATGGATGTTGATCGTTTCTTTGCACACAGCCCAAGGAAGTATAGGCACTGTTTTACATTCCCATCAACAATGTCTGAGAGTTTTGGTCTCAGAACACACAGTTAGAATGGTCACTCATCTCTAATTTTAGCCATCTTGGGCACCACATAGTGTTACTCCATTGTTTTCTTCAGTGTTATTTTTATTATTAGTGAGTAATTTTTATTTTCAAAAATTTAGTAAAATTGACTTAAAATGTGGAAACAATCCGGATATCAGACGGATGCAGCAACAAATTATATTTCAGCTATGCACTAGAACATCAGCAATAAAAAGGAAGAAATTTTGGTCCATTCTAACCCATGCATGAATCTCAAAATGACTATGTGGTATGAGGTCAGGGGAGGGGCCTATATTCCTTCCTTCGTTTATATACAATACCAGGAAATGCAAACTGTCACAAGTGTCATAAATCAGATTTGTGGTTGCCTGGGGATCGAAAGCAGAAAGCAGTATATTCCCTGCTCTAATACCTTGAAAGTTCATTAGAGAAACAAGTGGAAGATATTAATATATGTGACAAAAAAGACCAAACACATTCAAAGAATCACAGACGATGGATTCTGTATGCAGGAAATGGATGGAACATGGTTTTGGAACGATCTCAAAGCTTCTCGAGATTACCGGTATGACAGTATCTCTAACTTTCAAGCAAGATGCTGAGACATGAGGAGGACAATTTGTCCGTTAGCTCTCAGCTTCTTTAGTGTAAGAATTGAAATTCTTACCCAACTACTTTCTATATTCAAACAAAGCCTGGGACTTGCATCGCTGTGATGGAGCCACAGAAGAGGTTATGCAGGCAACTACCCGGGTGATTGCAAAGGCCAGAACCACCTCTTAACTCCCCAACAACCTGTTCCACTAATTGGCAGGAACCCTGCAGGGGAACACCAGGACCAGAGCCATGTCCTCCAATGTTTCTAGTCTGTGGGATGCAGTTTCCTGGGAAAGGAAACGCGGAGCCCTGAAGACCAGAAGTATTCAGTGTGCAGGGGCCTCTTCCTGACGCGCGAAGTCAGAGCGCCCCAGCCACTAGGCCAGTGAAGGAAGGTAAACGAGGAGAGACTGACGCGGAGGCGCTAAAGAAACGCCCCTCCCACGACACTACTTGGACCTGATCTCAAGCAGAGCACAGGCACAGGAAAAGCCGCCAGCACGCCCCTCCCGAGCGCTTCTGGGAAGAGCTCGCCAAGTCGCCCCCGGCTCGGTCGACTAAAGACCAGTAACCGGCCTGCGACTGGGGAAGGCAGCGTGCACTCGTCCTGCGCCGCCGCCCGCGCGCTCCGAGTAGGGAGAGGACGCGCGCCCCCAGAAGGGACCCGGGAAGGCGGCCTGAACTCGGGCTCCGGAGCGAGCGGACAGGGAGAGCGCGCGAGCTCGGGTTCGCCTTCCGCGGGACACCGTAGCGGTGGCGCTGCGAGTCGGCGGCGAGAGGCGCTCACTTTCCTCCTCCACTCATTCAGCCACTGTTGCCCTCGCTGTCATCTCACCTCTCCAGTTTGTGTACTGCGGGACATAGTAGTATTTGTTTCCGAAGTGGTCCGTTCCCACATGTTCTTTCACCTCCTTTGACAGCATCCTCCACAGGGTGCGAAATAAACCCTGAGGTAAACCCATGCGGACCTCTCCGTTCCCAGCGCGAGTAGCCTGGGAGCCCAAGCAGTCTAAGGAGAATTTAGATTCCGCCCATGGGGCCAAAACCCGCCTATGTCCTCCAGCCTTCTAAATCAGGGCCCTTCCTATTGGTCACTTGGAATTAGGCTTGGCCAATAGAAGACTCTGTTGTTACAACTCGCCACCGAAACTGTCATGGCACCGTCCAGTGCTCAAGCTGGTCTAAGGACGCAAGATGCTGGGCTTTTTGTCCGCGCGACAAGCGGGTTTGGAGGACCCTCTTCGCCTCCGGAGAGCGGAGGCCACGCGAAGGTACAGAAATTTTGCCTTTTCCACTTGCAAGTTTATTAAAATCTAGACCACTTGCTAGAGGACAGAGTTGGGGCGTGGGGCCATTGGGAAGGATTAAGTTAAAATCGAAGCTGAATGAGTAAAAGCTACGTGTACTTGGGTTAAAAGAATGATGAGAATCGGGTTACAACTTCTGGATTTTGTCTTTTTCTTAGAGAATGGACTGAATCTGATAACAGGTGTGGGTACCAAAGTAGATAATTTGGAATTGTCCAGGAGAAAGTTGATGAAGCCTGAAGTTCAGAAGAGGCAGATGGGATAAAGGGAATGTAGAGTTTTGAAAAATGTCTAAGAAATAGAAACAACTGCCGCGGAAATTGACTAGATATGTGAATAATGCAAAAAAAGAGGAAACAATTGTAATTCCTACATAAGTGCTTTCTGTAGGAAGTTCAATTGCGGGAACGTATTTTGAAATGAGAATTTCCAAAGAGCAAGGAATTCTTATTGTTCATTTTGATTGAACTGATTCTGAGGTACCTGTGAAGATAGTCATTTAGAAAGTAGAGAAAAGACCTTTGTTGCATATGTGAATTCTACGCTCGGGAAATTTTTTTCACTGTAAGAGACACGAACTTATGAAGAGGAGATAAGATCATCCACACAGTATTACTAAGAGTAAGAGAAGTAGTTCAATGAGAAACTTGAACACTTAAAATTAAGCAGAAGGAGCAAGGTAAGAGGTAGTGTGTTTGCCTTCCATGGGCAAAGCCCTGGATTGGACCTCCAGCGGTGGGAGAGGAGTGCTAGGCAGAAAAAGAATCTCCAGATGACAGACATGAGTAAGCCGAGAGGTAGCAGGAAAACCAGGAAGATGAGATGTCCTGGGTGCTGAGAGAAGCCAGTGATTGCGAAGGGAGCTATCAAATGTGTCTTGGTGTGTGCCCTGTGACCCTCTTCTTTGTTCTCAGTAGTTGCCTGTCTCTTTACTCTAATTTCTTTTCTGTTCTTCTTTTACTCTGATTTATTTTCATGCAATATATTATTATTAATGTATTTTATATATTCTCTTAAGATTATTATTGTTAGCACTTCAGAGAACAAGAGATCTAAGTGTTATGTAAATGACACATTTTTAGCAAATCTGAAGAATTAAGTAGGAATTAGAAGTAAATGGCACAGTAATCTGAAGAATTAAGTAGGAATTAGAAGTAAATGGCACAGTAATCCCTAATGACTTTGGTAAGAGCAGTATCAGAGGAATGATGAAAATAAAGATTTTAGTAAGATGAAAAATAACAGTAAAGGCAGTTGGCAGTTCTAATATTAATGACTTATTTAAGAAATTTAAATTGATAGAAAAGCAACAGTACATTTTGCATATTGACAAACTGATATCCCAAAGTAAGTATCAGCAATGTAGTTCTTTTCACTTTCTCTGTAACAAAGTAGCAGAAACTCAGTAGTGTAAAACAGTTCAGTGATTTATAGCTTCACAGACTGACATGGCAATAATCTGTGTGTCTCCTAACTGGATCCTCTTTCTGGCTCAGTCCTTATGAAGCTCCCATCAAGATATTGAATGGGATTGTAGTCATCTCAAGACTTGACTGGGGGTAGATCCACTTCTGAGGTCACTGAAGTGTCTATAGACAGATTTACTTATACTCTAGGTGTTGTCTGGATGCCTCTTTCAATTTCTTGCCCCATAGACTTTTCCATAGGGCAGAGCAATGGAAAACAGCTGGCTTTCATCAAAGTACAAGAGTACAAGATTGAAGCCACAAGCGTTGTCCTCTAATCTCAGAAATGACATCTCATTACTTTTGTCATATTCGACTCATCAGAAATGAGTCACATTTACGGAGAGAGAACTAATTCAGATCATGAATACCAGGAGTTGGTGACCATTGGAAGCCATTTTCTCAGCTCTTTACCACAACTGAAAAAAACAATATATTGTCTTAATAGATAATAATCGTTTAATGGTTTTCAACAAGCAATTATGTAACATTTTGTGTCTAAAATGTTATATTTATAGTGTACTTTTTCTTAGGATAGTGAAATAGGATTCCAAAATATTAAGTGTAATCTTACCTAACTTGACGTTAAATTTTTTTAAATCAGTATAGTTTTTAAACATGATTGGCATTACACCTGCTACTGATCTCCCCTTCCTAATCCCAGTTATTGCAGAGATGAGAGGAATTTTTGTTTAATTTAGTCATCTATTAGTTACCACATATGCATACATCCAGAGAATTTTATTTCATTAACTGCAAGGAGTCAATTTTGTATGTATCAAAATTTGCCTCTCTCCTCCAGTAATGTGGTTTGTTCACAACAAGTAGTTCTGCAATTCATACATTATGATCAGCAAAGTAGGTGGTGAAAAATGAGTGAACTTGTGAATTGCTTTAATTTTAGTGAAAAGAACTTTAATTTTTTTTAAAAAGCAAATCTTGTAATTTCAGTAGGAATTGAAATTAGTGAGCCATTGAACATCTTAAAAATCCAGTCTTCTAACTCTAAAAGATCTTTATACTGAGTATAAGTCTTTGTAAAATACTGTGACCTAAATCTCTTCCTTTATTAAAAGAAATATCTTCCTTTATTAAAAGAAATAAAATTTGAAACAATGACAGCTATCCTAACCAAATCACTAAATGAGTTCATAACCAAGTACTTCTTAGTACTTCTCCATAAAACTTCTATATGACTTGATTTTTTTGATAAACAAATGCTGTAGTGATCTGATGAAAATTTCTTCCACGAATTGTTTTGTAGTTTATAGAAAGTCAGAATTTATCCAGAAGCCCACTAATGCCAGTTGCACTTATTCTTATTTCATTTTCATGTGAGTTAATAAAATATGAATACAAAGAATTTCTGTCTTTACAAAAATGAGAGTACTTATGAAATACTTAATAAAAACAAATGGCTTTAAACAAAATTCCTTTTTAATGACATAGCTGAGGTGATTATTATAAAAGATGAGTTATAACAATATAAAAGAGTTACAACAATATAAAACTTTGTCAGAATATTGATATCACCTGGAGTATTTGGAAAAAAAATTTATGTCCAAATTATATCCCCACAGATTCTAATTTAGGTTACTTTACATATTCACAATAGTATGTAAATGTAATCACTTTTGTCTGACCTCTTTGCCAAGCATAATTATTTTGAAGTTGTACTAGCTTCTGTCTATCAATTGTTTTTCATTGGTGAGGAGCATTCCATTATGTGGATATAAATTTTTGGCTATTACATTTAAAGCTGTTACAAAAATTTAATATACCATTTTTGTATAGATATATGTTTTTATTTCTCATTGGTTTATACCTGGAATACTCAAACACTAAATGTCTGTTTCATTTAAGAACTAAATTTTCCAAAAGTATTTTATACTACCAAAATTAGGAATGACTGTCAGTAATTTGTTCCATGTGTTTTCCCCCCTTTTCTGCTTTCTTCTGGGTTATTTGAACATTATTTAATACTTCATTTTAATTGACTTTGTGATTTTCACTATATCTCTTTATGTATGTGTATTTTTACATAGATTTAGTATGGGCTCTAAGAATCACAAAATAGAAACTTAACTTTTCATATTCTGCTTAGAATCATTATTTTACTGCCTAATTTGATACGTAGAAACTCTGTCACTCTTTACCACCTACATTTTGTTGTCACATATATATATACATTATTTTACTTACATTATTGGCAATGTTGTTATTTTTGGTTTCAATCATCAAATATATTTTAAGAGGAAAAAGTCTACCACATTTACCCAGATAGTCACTATTTCTGCTGTTTTCTCTTCATTCTTGGTGTCCCAAGTTTCCTTCTTACATCATTTCCCTTCTGTCTAAAGAGCGCTGCTTATCATTTCTTTTAGAGTTGATCTGATGGCTCTATTTTTACAAAAAGGAATCTGCAGTTATTCAAATACTGTTTTCTCTGTAGATAATTTGATCTTTTCCTCTAACATCTTTAAATATTGTTTTAGTTTTCAGCAGTTTGGATTTATTTGAGTTTATCCAAGTCAGGAGTAGTTCCACTTTTTCAGTTTGTGATTTTATATCTTTCACAGCTTGAGGAGTTTTTACCTAATATTTTTCCAGTTATTTGTTGCTACCATATTTTTCCCCTCTCCTTCTGGGACACCAGGGTCATAAATGTTAGTTTTTTGCTAATTATCCCTCTTGTCTCTGAAGCTCTGCTCTGCCCTCCCCCAGTGTTTCCCCCTTTGGTGTCAGGACTGTGTAAGTCCATTAACTCTACCTTGAAGTTCCTCTGTCAGCTCCAATCTACAGTCAGTCCATTAAATTAAAATACTTTTATGTTGAAAAGTTTTGAAATTTCCAATTGGCTATTATTTCTGTCTTCTGTTTCCTTGCTGATAGTTTCTATTTTAACATTTGTTTCAAATGTGACCACGTCACTTATGCATTTTATAATGCTACCTTGAAGTCTTTGCAGGTAATATCAAATGCTGTGTCAAATCAGCTTTGGCTTCTATTACTTGTCCTTTCCTGAGCAAGTTCAAATAAATTTTCATTGTTTTTTTCATACGTAGAGTACTTTTGGATTACATTCTGCACAGTTTGATTACTCCGTTATGCAACTCTAGGTCTTGTTTCAGGAAGAATGGCAACATTTTCATTCTAACAGGTCCTTGACAAAATGGTTCAGGATGGATATGTATATTCAATTTGATTCTAGTTTCCAAGGCCTTTTCAGATCTGTCCAGGTGTGAGCCACTCAGACTGTGACCTGAGTGATAGTGGCGAATTGTTTTTTCAAATTTTTTGTATGATATTCAGGATTAAATACACAAATACTCTACTCAGGAAGGAGTCCAAAAGTTTATAGACATTTTTCTGGCATCAGTGTCCTGAGCTCCTTCATCTCTATGCTTTCCTTGGTATTTCCAGATCCTCTAGAACTGCCTTTATTCGTTGTCTTTTCAGAAGCTTTAGGCTCTGGTTACCATGTTCTGGTTACCATTTTTTTGCCTCAACTTCAGCTCAGAAGTGAAAAGACAGACAAGAGGCAATGGGCTTTGTTCCCACCTTGTTGGAATCCAAGCTCTATAAAGAGATGACATAACTTTATTTGAATATGTATTAAACAATTCTAATTCTACCTACTTACAAAAAGGAAATTTTTAAAAATCTTGTAATTTAAGCTTTGTCCACTAGGCGTCCTCAGTTTAATTTATTAGAATTAAACTTTGTGAAGTTTTGGTCTCTAAAAACCTTTTAAAAACTTAACAAATATTTTAAATGAAATTCAAGATAATATTTCAGGTGAGAAATTATGCACAGAACTGTTAATATTTTAAAAATTTTACTACCCTGCCAAATCTATAAATACTTGTAAATGTGTACTGGAAATTTTAAGTATTACCTGTAATTTTCACACTATATGGTATCTCGGTGAAGAATTTATTTATTCTAAATTATTTTCTTACTGCCAAATTTTATCTTTATTTTCTCTCTTAATTTTTAAAGGGTCTTGGGACTGGAGTTAAACAAAGACAGAGATGTTGAAAGAATCCATGACAGTGGAGTTAACACACTTGACATTGAACCTGTTGAAGGGAGATAGTAAGTTTTTCCAACTTGTATTACCACTTTTTCCTTGTGAAATGTACTACAATCTTTTCTCAGATTAGTCGTGTAGAAGTTTCATAAAAAGTCTGAATTATAACATTTTTCAACTCATGATTTCAATTACACAGAATGTCAAAACTGCAAACTGTTGCCAAATATATTCACTGCTAAATTAAAAAATACTGAGTTTGTTTAGATGCAGAGGAGTTGTAAGGCTGGGATATGTCTTTAAGTGCTATTTTAAAAAACAGCTACTACTTACATGGTGTCCAGGGAGAAAACAAATAAGCAAAAGGATATTTTTGAGAATTCAGTTTGAAGCACATTAATAAGAAAATCACTATTGCATATACTTTTATTCCTTTCAATCTTTTTGACTCCACACTGGCTGGATAGTTTGAATCATGTGAATCTGAATAGATTGCCTTGCTCCGGCTCCGGACACCACATTACCCATACAAGAAGGTTTAGGGCCCCGGGGCATAGCTCCATGGACGTGTTTAGCCTAATCCAGGCCTAGGCTCAAATGCTAGTACCAAAAAGGAACATTGAACACTCTGCTGTATAGTTGCACATTGTATAAAAGTAACTAAGACTATCTGTCAAGTTATACTTAGTATTTGTTTCAGGATTTTTATTTTGTAATATGCTATTATCCATTAAATCAGAATAACTTTCATTTTTTAATCCTACCTTCTACCATAGTCTCAAATAGCAGTCATAAGGAAAATCAGTAAATAAAATTCTCACTTAGCGTGCAGTTATATTTAAAAAAACACAGGCAGTATGGTTTTTTTATTTTTTTCTTTTTCCTTACTTCTTTTTCCTGAAAAAGAAAAAACACCTACTCAAGAACAGCTGTGGGGTTCTTACTTATAAAATATACACAAACATGTGATAGTATGAACAGCTATTTTGAAGAAAACAAGACATCATAATAGCTAGTGCTGATTTAATATCATCTTGTTTTGAAGTCCCATCAAGCTGTTGTCCTTCTGTCTCCATTGGTTTTATCATGTAGTATCTTATTGGATTTTAATATATGTGATAGTATAAACAAAATTTTTTGTAGACAAAGAGGTAATATAGAAACCGTTGTTCATTTTCTATTAGCTGGTTCTAAATATCCTGTAATACTTTCATTCTCTTGAATGGTTTCACACTGTCTTGATATGTTTGATGCTATAGTATGTGAAGTTATACTCAGATATTTCAAGGAAAGAGACACTATGGTAAATACTATTATGTCAGGTTATCTGGTGGTGAAACACTATGTTTCTTAAATTGTTCTGTTCTGACCTGTGTTGTTTTGTTATGTTCTCTTGTATCTCAATCTCCCCCTTTTTTCCTTTTTTTTAAAAATTAATTTATGTTTTATTATTTTTTTAATTAAGGGGAAAATAAATTAAAAAATAGTGGAATATATTATACTAACTTTTTTGTTTTCCTGTGAACCTGATTTGAACCCCTGTATTGCTCTCACCATCTTGTTTTGACTGATTTTACTCTATTCTGTTTTGTTTGATAGTATCAAATTTGAGGGTATAGGCAACTACTTTGAAGGCAATAAGATTCAGTATGATGCCCATTCTGGTTTGACTATTATCTTCTTTTGAAGTCCTGTAAGGTCTCCAATGTTTAGGTTTTATTGGTTTTGTCCTGTACTGTTTTGTTCAATTCTATTATACCTGATGATATAGGCAACTCTTTTTCAGATAGCAAGAGGCATTATGGTAACCATTGTTGATCACCTGGCATTCTGTTTTTACATCATGTACTATGTCCATCCTTCTGTTCTAACTAACTCTGTTTTGTTTTGTCACATTTGGTTTTATTCTCTTCAAAAAAAAGTATTAAGAACTGTGGGAGTAGTAAAACCCAAAATGTGTAATTGTTATTGTAAAAGAGAGAGGAAAAGAAAGTGCTCTAAAGGATATAACTGCATGTATATTTAAGAGTGTAAGATAGAAAATGATATTACTAAGTTTTTGTTGGATCATTGAACAGAACTGTTTGCAGTCTCACTGTTTGAATGTCCACTTTAGTATGCTTTAATTTTGTAATTTGAACAACTATTTCTAAGATGACAATATATAATCTATTAACTAGTGATTTCTTACTGTTTATTTTTTTTTGAAATTCTGTATTACTTGTACCCTTTTACTGTTTTTTTTTTTTTTCTCTTTAAATAAAAAAAAAATATACACAGACATGAGCATCTAGGGATACTTGACTCCTTTTGGCCTTATGTTCTAGTGGGAAAGGTATTTGGTACTTCATTCTGACCAGCTCTTTGGCCCAGTGATCAGTTGTAATTGGTGAGTCAGTGGGAAATGTGGAAATTTACAGATTATATCTGTATGAAGTATGTTTGAGGAATAGGTTTAGATATGTTCTTATAGAACATAGAAAAGTCTGAAAACTTGTTACAGTGGTTTTCTCTTTGAGTAAATGGTAAAAACCTACAGCTATTTTATTGTTTGCTAAGCCTTGTATTTTGCATTTTAAAGAAATAAATATGAAAGTATATTTTAAGTACATAATTAAATACTGACTTTCCTTCCCTTAAGAAAATAAATGTATGTCCAACTCACATAAAACATCTGTTAGTATTTGCCATCTACCATGAGCCCTGAAATGACATCACTGAAAATATTATGCAGTGAAATTAATCCAAAAAGAAAGAGGATCAAGAAATGTTTGGAGGACAGAGGAAAGCATGGGAAAGAAGACCCAGAAATGAATTGTCATGTGCTGCGTATGCATACCAGCTCCCCACAAGGAATGTGAACATTATGTATTACATACCTACTAACAAATCAAAAATTTTTGTAAAACCAGAATAGAAACCTGTTGCTGATCCGAGCAGTGCCTCTCTGTAATCATAGCTAATAGGGAGGCTGAGGGTAGAGAGTCTTTACCTCGAGCCCAGTCTCACAATACCTCATCTCAGAAAAGAGGGAGGCAGGGAGGAGGACGAGGAAGGAGAAAGGGTAAGAAAGAGGAGGGAGGAGAAAGATATTCCCCAAGTTAAGTGATTGTTGGAAGAAAACTATCTAAAAGTTGTATTTTAATAGATTCAACTCCAGAAAGTATATTTTCATAATCACTGTGTTGTTTCCATTTAAATCTCCTAAATTCTTCTAAATTAATTAATCTTAATACCCATTTTTCTTGTCTATATAAAAACATAAAGCCATCAGGGTGTAGTGGCACATGCCTACAATCTCATTTTGAGTTTGGTTCCAACTTGGGCAAATTAGCAAGACCATCTTAAAATAAAAATTTTAAAAGCACTGGGGATAGAACACTTGCTTTAGCATTTGAGAGGCTCTGGGCTCCATGCCCAGTACCACCAAAAAAAAAAAAAAATAAAAATAAAAAACAGTTCACAAAAACAAAAAGAAAACCTATGAAGTCTTATCCATGGTCACTCTGCTGGCAAAATAGTAACCTCACAGTTCAGTAATATTAGTGCCATCAATACCTCACAGTACTTCAAATAGCATTCAATAATGGGTTCATTTCAATAATGCTTTGATTTTTTTTTCAATCTACTTAATAGAATCAAAGGCAAACTTTTGGAATCCATTCTAATAAGTGCAAAAGTTCTGACATTATAAATGCCATTTAAATTTAGTTAACCAGTTCAACTTTAAAATTAATCATGAATTTCAAAATGATGTTTATAATGTCCTACTTTAAGAAAGAAAACTATTTTACTAAGTTAAATTGTGAAGCAGAAATATTTTTGGAATTTTTGGGGGTACACATCATGGTAACTGTCTCCTGTGTTCAAACATTTTATCACTCAAAATGAAGGTTCTAGTTGTTGAAACTTACATGGATTTCTCTGTGTATGTCATTATTGTTGAATATTTTTTAAATACTAAGCATGACAGTATTTGACTTTTTCTGCTCCCCATAATGAATCGTCTCTAAGACATTACTTTTTCTTCTCTCCCCTCCCTTCACCGCTCCCCTTCCCTCTTTTTTCTCCTCTCCTTCCCTTCCCACCCCTTCCTTCTCCTCTCTTTATCTCTTCCCTTTTTGCCCTGCCAAGGCTCTAACCTACAGTCTTAATACATGCTAGATAAATGTTCTCCTGCTGAGCTACCTCCACAGCTCCAGGAACTACTTTTATATTAACTAATTGTTTCATAAATTGGTTTTAAATATTTCTTAAGCATGTCCGTAAATCAGCATATGCTGGTAGTTTATGAACTGTTGGATACTGATTCAGAACAAGATAAGGAGCTTAACCAGAGTGTACACTTATAGCATCACAGTCGCTTGCTTTAATGGAGCTATGCTTGTTTTTTAGAGTTTTTGTTTGTTTGCTTGCTTGCTTGTTTTTAGCAAGATGTTTTCTATGAAGAAATCCATACGTCTGTTTCAGGGAGAGACGTATTAAATTAGCACTGCTCTATGTTTATTTTTATTGAAAATCAAGTGAAAATCTTTTGATCAATGTGTTTATTGATGAGAGCCCCAAAAGATATCAGTGTCAGCATAGTGTATTAAAATGGCAAAATAAAAAAGAAACAGTATATAATACTTACAATACAACCAGTTCAATGAAGCATCACCACAAACTCCAAACATGAATAAGTGGAAACAAACCTTTGCTAACTATAAGGTCTGTATAGCATCTGCATTTATTCCAGAGTTTGAGTTCACTAAAAAGCAGTGGGGCATCTGACATATCTGATAAATCCAAAATAACCAGCATTTTGGTTGAAATGCTTAGTGATCCAGTGTGATTACAGCAAGTAAATTGGGAAAGCAGGGAAGACCAGAGTCACAGACAAGTTCAAGGCGTGCACATGGGAACCATGGGTCAGGTAATCTCTCCAAACAGTGAATGAGTCAGAGCTCCTGCCAGGTCACAACCTTACACTGAGGAGAAGCTTCTTGGAATAGAATGCAAGTTGAGCTTGAGCAGCACAGGAATAATTAATAGAAACAAAAGGAGAAGATGATCCCCGCCCCCAAAAAAAGGTAAACAGCAGGAAATCTCTGAAAGTGAACTCTGATATTTTGGACATCCTACCAAAAATAAACAGGGCTTTAAAGAAGAGGTGTTCTAAAGATAGGAAGTTTAAACATTATTCTAAACCAAAACTCCCCATTGTAAAAATTAGGAAAATTAATTTTATTAAAAATGTGCAAAAGAGTAGAATTAAGATCAAAATCCATACAAAAATAAAGAGCAAAGAGAAAAGAATCCCATGAGAGACAGCGCTACAGAGTTAGGTCTGCCAAACAGATGAAAAGCTAATACTTCAAAACTAACCAAAAGTTATTTTAAAATGTATAATGTATGACAGAATTATATGTTGGACTTAGAAAAACTCAGAAATGAGGCAGACAAATTCAAGAGTACATTAGAAATGCAAAAGTATTTCAGCACTGAGTATTAAAGCATAAAGAACACAAACAAATAAACACAGAGGGAATGCTTTAGAATTTGGAGAAAGCTTGGTGGCTATGCCTGTGATCCCAGCATTCAGGAGGTTAAATAAATCAAGAAGATTGCAGAAGGCCAGCTTGAGCTAAGCTGCTCAGTGAGACACAGTCTCAAAGAAACAAAAAGAAAGAAAGAAATAGAAGATGGAAAGAGAATAATTTTAAAAATTAGAAAGAAATGCATTTATAAGGTTGATATCTATACATATCAAATATGGGCAAGGAAATCCCATGTATATCTAATCGGAGTTAGCAGAAAAGAAAATCAAAGAAACAGAGACAAACAAGTATTAAAAAGAGAAAACCTTTTTACTTTTAAATGGGGTCTGACACTGTATATAAAAGGGAAAGTCATCTTATCACCAGACTTTAACTTTGAAATTTTTTTAATCTAAGATGCTCAAGGATTTTATATCTAGTTAAATCAATTTTCAAGCATAAAACAAAGAAATTACTTATAACATATAAGAACACAGGAATTATTGTTTTTTAATAGCATTCTACCAAAAATGCAGTCAGACAACCAGAATCACTAGGACAGCAACATAAGCATTGATGTTAGGCATTAATATTAGCAAATAGCAGTACTTTATATAAATATATAAATGTGTGGGTATAGCTATTCATTTGGCTGTGTAAATCACATTACATTTTAAATGACAGACCATGAATTCAGGTATTAGAGTCTACCTGGCAATTGCAGCACACATGATCTTGTTTCTACAACAAATAAATTGTAAAAAAGGATGGGGGCCATGTAGGAGGAGAAAGAGTGAATGAAAGATGGATATAAGGGGCTGCTAAAGATTTAAAAATTGAAAAATTTTAAAACAAGTCAAGTATTCATGACTATACATTTGAATGATGGCTAGTATCCATGAGTATATTTTTGAGTAATACCTAATATTCTCGGGTATGCTCTTGAGTAATGAATAATGAACTGTACAGAAAAAAAGTGGTTACTATAAAAGTCATGACAATGAGTTATTATGTGGAAAGATCCCATTTTTGGACCTTTATGAAAAATCTTTTGATGGTACTCCTAAATTTATAATTTGTTTAACAGTAGAACAAAATTATTATTACAATATATAAATCCAATCCAAAAGAAGTATAAAACTGCAAACTTGCTTGAAAACAGTTATATCATCACAAAACAAAACAAAACAAACAAAAAACTTCCAAAGAAAGTTACTCTAAGGAGATAAAAACTGGAAACAAGGAAAGATTTTTTTGCCAAACTACTTGAACATTTGAAAAGTAAAAGAAAAATCAAGAGTGCTCTTCATTTTGTAGAATTTTCACTAACCTTACCATATCCTGCACCACCTATTGTTATTTTCTAAATGAAATATTAGAACCTTTAGGGAGTTAGTGAAAGAGGCAACAACTTCAAATTCAAAGATGATTTCAGACTATTTCATGAAAAATGAACTAAAACACAATACAAAAATAAATAAATAAATGAATAAATGAAACAAAGTCTTAAGTGACACATTCAGATTTTTTAAAAAAAAAGCTCATTGAAGTATGTGAAGTCCCAAGATACTATTGTGCAAACTAAGTTTAACCAATGTGAAAGGTTTTTGTTTCATGTATATGCTTATATGTTACTTTTAAGTTTGAAATTGTTTTGCTAAGCTTTTAAATACAAAATGATGGGGTCTACCAATATAATAGGCAACTTTCAGAGCAAGGAAATGTTTCCTTTTTTTCCCCCAAAATCCATTTCATTTGTTTTTTAGCACCCTGTTCTATGCTCTTAGGTAACAATTTGAGCTTTCTGGCCCCTGTTGACCTCTTATCTCTCCCCACTCTTCTATACTTCTTAGGCAACGTGTTGCTTCTTTTGGTTTCTACAATGAACCTGGATTGTTAACTCCAATTCTTCCTTCAAATTCCAATTTAAATATTACAATCAAGGAAATTCACCTTGAATCCCAAAACTAGAATAAATGTAAGTTATTGTCACAGGGATCTCAATTATAACTAACAGTTTGTGTGATTATATATACTATTTGGTTTTCCTATATGCTGTAAGCTTTAGACAGGAACAGAGCCTCTCTTGTCCATAGGCATATTAACACAGTACTTTACATGTTGTTAGATACTCAGGTGAAGCTGAACAAATGGAATCAATACATTCATAAGAGAAAGAAGGAAGATACTTGGAAGGAACTTAGCACTTTTATTATCATATCAGCTTTGTGATTTAGGTGAAAAGGCCCTCCTTTCCAGCAAACCTTGAAATGTTTAGACATGGGCCATAAGGTACCCAATGTCACAGGGCTATTATCAGTAGTGGCTGGTCTCTCTGATTGCATTTTCAATTAGCACAATTATAATTAACATTTAAAACAGCTTTATAACATCTTACTTTCTTAGATAAGAACTATCATTTGTCCTTTGTACCATCTGTTCTTTTTGGAAATATGAAGATAAACCTAAAAGATCACTGAGTTTTTCTATTATAAAATTTTTAGGCTTACTTTTTAAAAAAGTTTTTACTAGTACATGTTTGCATAAATGATTACATTTCTCATGGGGAGTTGGTAACATGTATAGAACACATACATATCTTAATTTTTTTTGTCCCCTACTGTTTGCATTTCTCCCTGTTCCTTCCATTACTTTGTCCCCTTTCCAATTGCAAAACCTCTATTTTAATTTTTCTTTTTCAACTCTTTTTTTACTCCTTTTTCCCTCCTCCACTTCATCTCATGTTGAAAACAAGGATGAAATCTAACTCTAATAATTGTTAAGAAATTTTAGCTTATTAATGTTTATTGTGGTCCTCCTTCATGAAAAATAACTCCATAATTCAATTCAGTGTTTAAACGGCAACTTTTCATAATATAGATCATCATAAATAAATGAAGTAATGAAATGATCAACTTATGTGAACTTTTTTATTATCAGCATGTTATCAGGTGGTTCAGATGGTGCGATTGGACTTTATGACCTTGAGAACTCCAGTAGACAACCTTATTACACATGTAAAGCTGTGTGTTCCATTGGCAGGTGTGTATTGAAAAATATAATTCATAAATTTGTAAACAGTGAGTATTTTTGCATATAATGCAAAACATGAAAATAGCAATAATCTGAGTGGCTGAAGCAAGTTATTCAAATGATGTATTTATATCTGTCCCTGTTGGTGCTTTCTTGGTAATAACTGAAATTCAAGTGTAGCCTTCTTAAATGTCATTTGACTTCCCTACAAAAATCTTTTTTATCAATTTTCAAAAGAAGCTTTAAGTTTTTTAACTATATCTTTTTTGTTCTATATCCAAGAGCATACCTCAATAACTAATTAGTTTTTAGTTCCACTTAGTATAAGGTTCATTTATGAGTCTTTCGGCAAATTATAACACATACTAGGTTTTTCAAGTGATACTATTATGGATAAAAACAATTTGGAGTTAGATATAATAAATATATATGCAAACCCTTATGCCCCCCCCCACAGTTGTATCTCTGCTTCCTCAAAAATGTTTAATTTTTAAAAAACTAAATTTTAAAAAAAGCTGTTGTCTCAGTTTCTCTTGCTATTTTTTCATGGCTTACCAGTGTGTGACCTTATGGTAGCTTTTTATAATGGTAGTTAATTCTGTCTCCTCCCTTTACTGTGGTCAGCCATTGAGCAGAACTTTGTAAGAACAGTGAATAGGTGCTAAGGAAAGCATTCAAGAAAAGAAATTTCATAAACATAAATATCAACAACCCCTCTAAATTCAAGCTGCTCCTAGAGCACTAGAGTCCTCCCTTCAGGAGATGGGTCTACTCAAAGAGAGCTACATGGAGTTTCATGGCTATGGCTGCTCTCTTTGGAAATACAGATATGAAGAAATTGTTAATCCCTTTGAGTTTCAGGTTAAGTTTCTTTTAGATAATTTTACTTCTCATTTTTTTTATTTTGTGAAAATATGTAAGTATATATACACAACAGAAGAAGAAAAGGTATACTAGTAGGTAGTGTATTTCTGTAGCATAGTCTTAAGGCTAGAGCTGGCATGTAAGACTTCCCTTCACATTCTCATTCCTTGAGTTAGCTCCACAAGTGTTCAGGGTTCTTTACCCTCTATTGGGATACAGACCTTCACCCTTAAACATCAGAACCCATGATGGTTCTGTCTATGTAGATTTATAGTATCCTATTAATTTTAAAGCAGCCAGTAGTATAACAACTATATACCCCCCTCCCCCACAAAAAGAACTAGATAACCATTACACAACTTCATCAACTATAGGCTTGAGCAATCTTTTCTCTGTGCCTGTTTACTCAGAATTCTTTGGAAATAAATCCTGTGTAGCATATTATTTCATCTATAATTATTTGTTTGTATTTCTAAAGCAAAAAGGTTATTTATCGGCATAACCACAGCACCACTATCTCACATACACAAAAATGACTGATTTTAAATATCCAAGCAGTTGTCACATTTTTCTCATAGTCTCTTAAGTATCATACAAATGGCCAGTTTGTTTAAATTATGATATAATAGCATGTCTAATATTGATTACTGGTTAAGAACATATACTATATCCTTTAGGACGGCACAATCATTGTTGAGTTGATGTAGCTGGTATTACAGTGTAGTCATCAGCAGATCATGCTTCTCTGGGTGATGAGTTACCCAGAACCAGTAAATCTTATGGACATCCACCAAGTGTATTCTTCTGTTACACAATCAGCATCTTATAAACAAGTGATATTGTGTGGGGGACCATGGAAGTGAGTGAGACTTTCAACAGTTTTAATAATGGTAGTGCTAAAAAAATGATACTTAAGAAAAGCAAATAAAGAGGAATGCAATAAATATAAAGCTGTGCTATATCCATGATAGACTAAGTCAAGTGTAGCTGGCTGATGCTGTCAAGCTCTACACAATACATAAATGCGAGATGCCTACTTTGTAAGCCTTAGGAGGTAGCCCTGCCACCATATGATGCTAGAAGCTTGAATCTGGAGATGCCTGGACATTTTCTCTGTCTTATGAATAGCTAGGACACAAGAACGTGACCTAGGTATACAAATTGTATCACACTTTGACTACTACTTGTTCATAATATAACACCAGTTTTGAAACTCCTAGAAATCAAATATTGCTAAGTTTTGATTACTGTTTTTTTAGAAGCCATCCTGATGTTCACAAATACAGTGTGGAGACTGTTCAATGGTATCCTCACGACACAGGCATGTTTACATCAAGTTCATTTGATAAAACGCTGAAAGTATGGGATACCAATACTTTGCAGGTACGTACATTAACACCTTTCTAGTTTGCTTTGCAGAATGAAGAATGTAATTCTAAACCACTTTCATGTGATTATTTATCAGAATAGGGAGATGGCATAGTAGTTGATGAGAGCTAGCCTGTTGCTAATGTCCAAACCTCCTTGTTTATCTCAGTTTTCTCAGCTCTAAATGGTGCAACAATAGTGGATCTCCCTAAAGAGCTGTGGGTTAAGGAGCTGAAATATGTAAAGTACCTAGAACACTGCCTAGCGCTAAGTATTATATTATTAAAAACATTTTTGGGCTGGCAATTTAAGGAAAAACATTGGACTTACAATTGATCTAAAAAGTTAAAAAAAAAAGTAAAGAGAGACATTGTGTAATAGTTTCTATAATATGTTGCTAAACTGAACTTCCTAGTGCTAATGTTTTCCCTGAGCTCTGTTCTCATGTTTCTCTGTTTCCAGAATCTCCTTGTTAAAAATAGTGTGATTCCTTCAAACATGACTTGTTTCAAACTGAATGTTTTTCTCATCCACTTAGTTGTGAAGGCTTGACAAATCTTCCTTCAAAGTCTCTCGTACCTCTCTTTTCTTTTGCATGTAGGCTACTGAAAAATTCTAACTGGTTTCCCTGCCTTATTTTGATTTCCTCCCTCCTGTTTTCACAGTAAGTTCTCCCTAGAATGAATCTTACTACAAAGTGGATTTATCCTGTCTCTACCCATACCCTTTCCTGATTCCCACTGTCCACATTCAGCCTCAGTTCTAAATTCTCCATGATTTTACCCTCTATTCCATCATCCGTCATTTGTCACATCTTGATTATGCTGTATTGCCTCCGACGGGTGCCGTTACCCACCTTTCCCCTCCTCCTAAGTCCACATTGTTTTTACAAGTACATCCATCCCAGATTCAGGACACTGTAGTTCTAGTTCCACTCTACTGCTCCTTTGATATGTAACTCTACATAAAGTCAGTAGTTAATCAGCAAAGGTCTCTTCAGGTGTACAATTAAAGTGTCAGACTACATGATGCCATGAAGGTCATTCTAGGTCTATCATATAATCAGGGATTGTAGCATCTAGAGTTCATTTTAATCAACCTTTTAACTTTGTGGCACAGTTTTCTACATTCAACCCATTATTCTTTTACATTATTTTTATACTTGACTATCATCTGTTTGCTAGAGTGTTTCTTGCCCAAGGAAATGACTGTTTTCTATGCTACTAAATTCAATGTTGTATGGAAATGCTAAATACTTTAAATATAACTAATCATTTAAGTAACTATATATTAATAACTAATATAATAACTCCACCTAAAAAGATATTCTCATTTTTGACATTACTATACTAAAAAGAATATACCAAAGATCATTTTAGGTTTATTTGTATAATTAATTATTTATCTTCACTGTTCATTACTGCAAATGGGCATATATTTTTAAGAATAAATCAGTATCACAAACTTCTGTTTCTAACTATAATCTTGCAATTGAACCAGCATTCCCATTGAGAAAAAAACTAGAAAAGCTAACCACTCGGAAAGCTCCCAGAAAGCTCGGTCCTGACAGGCCAGACCCCAAAGAAAAGAAAACCTCATAGAATTGAATTCACCTTTCCAAACATGCTTTCCTCTTTGCCATTTGCCAAAGAAGCAAGTGAGACTTTAATCAATTTCATAAGACTGAGAGACAAACCAGAGTGTGAGGCTTTCGAGAGGGTCAGGAAATAGTAAGAGCACAGAAAGAAATGCAGAGAAGTAGCCTGACACTGAGAAGTGGTTTTCCCCGTTAGGCATTTTCCACTCAAGCTACAAAAGATCACTGACTAAGAAAGCAGAAATCAGCTCAAGGACAGCCATTTCCCCAGTCACAGGGTACTAGAGAGACAAGTCAAAACACAGTACTTGCTAAGTAGAAGAGGCTCTATAAAAATCCAGGTGCTTAGTTAGGGTACCTGAGGGAGGGTGTCCTGAAAATTGGTACAAAGAGAAGATAAATACTGCCGTAGGAGAATGAAGTACCCACCCCAAGATGCTTGTGGCCTGATCCCCAGAACTCTGATTATATTAGGTTACACGTTAGAGAGGAATTAAGTTTGTTAATATCTGACCTCAAGGAATGGAGATCCTGATTTATCCTGGTGGACTGAGTCTAAGGACAAGTGTCCTAAAGAGTGGAGGCAGAGGAGGAGGGTTAGCGAATGTGGAAGAATAGACAGAAATGTAAAATGTGGGTTATTAATATGAATGAAGAGACCACCAACCAAAGATTATAGGTAGCCTCTACAAGTTAGAAAAGGCCAAGGAAATGATTCTTTCCTGGAATGTGCAGAAAAGAATGCAGCCTTGTCAGCACCTTGGTTATAGTCCAGTGAAATCTGAATGAATGAGGCTACAGAGCAGTCTATAATAAACATACGTTGTTGCAAGTTCCTGAGCTCTTAGTAAGTCCTTATCTCAGCAGTAGAAAATTATGACAGACCTATGCAAAAGTACCAAATAAACTTTATATCAGCTCAGTCCCAAATTGAAAAGATCTGCCCCTCTCCTACCTGCCAAAGATAGATTGACTCCTCAATAGGGAGAGATAACATTAATAGAATTTCTGATCAAAAACTGCTGATGGAGACAGACTGACATCTCCAAACCAAGATATCATCAGTAAATTATTCTAAAGATTTAAAAAATAGATAATGCCAATACTGTACAAAACACTTCAAGAGAAGAGAAAAAAAAACACTTGCACTCATTTTTTGACGACAGCATATCCTTGAGTGCAACACTTTCAAGAATATAGGGAAGATTATAAGCTGTTATGACTTAGAGATGCTAAAATCCTAAACAAACTACGTATAAGCAGAATCTAGTAACATAGGAACAGCATCACAATTAAGTGGTACTTTAGGAGATAAGGTTGCTTTTACATCTAAGCAGCCAGTTAACACAACTCATCATATTACTACAATGAAGGAGTAATAGGTCATCTAAACATGTAAAACTTTTTAATGAAAGTCAGTACCCATTAATAATTTCTTGTTTTTTGTTTTGTTGAGACTCCTTTATTTTTTAAGTATTTTTTACCAGTACATGTTTACAGTACATCATGTTTGCATCCATGGTGTGAAATTGTTATGTGTACACGTTGTTACATGTACATAACACATCTTAATTTGTTTCTTCATCCCTTTATCTCCCCTCCCTCCCTCTCCCTCCATCTCTTGATCCCCCTTCTATTTGAGCAAGATCTATCTCCCTACTTTCTCTTGTCTTTTATTTTGCTCTTTATTTTTAACTTGTTTCTTATATAAGAGAATCCATTTAAATTTGTGTATCTGATTTATTATGTTAAGCATTATGGTCTCAAGGTTCATCAGTTTCCTTCAAATCACTCAAGTTTATCTTTCATTGTGGCAGAGTAGTACTTCATTCTGTGTAAATACCACATTTTCTTTACCGTTTATCTGTTGGTGGGCCTATGGTATGGGCTGCTTCCAAAATTTAGCCATCACATGTTGTGCTACTATATGGATATGCATATTATCACTGTAATATGATATTTTTAACACTTTCAGGAAGATACCTAGAAGGAGAATAGCTGAACCAAATAGGATTTGTAGTTTTGTTTTGTTTGAGGGAACTCCACCTTGATTTTCATGTTGTACTAGTTTACATTCCAACCAGCTATATAGAAGAGTTCATGCTGAGGATTTAGCTCAGTGGCTCAGGCGTTTGCCCGAAAAGTACAAGGTTATGAGTTCAAGCCCTGATACCCCCAAAAAAAAAGAAAAAAAAAAAAAGTCCATTTTTTCCCACAACTTTGCCAGAACTCGTTACTATTTTATTTTTTGACAATGGCAATTCTTTCTGAGGTTAGATGAACTCTTGGTGTTGTTTTAATTTGCATTTTTCTAATGGTCAGCAGTGTTCAGCTTTTTTAAAATGTATTTATTATCCATATGTACTTCATCCATGTATTCAGTTCAGGTGCCCATTTTTATTTGGGTCTTTGATTTTGGTGATTCTATTTTTTTTTTTTTTTTTTTTTTTTTTAGTTCTTTATCTACCATAGATACTAGTCTTCTGCCTGAGGAATACTTGGCAAAATTCCTTTCCCATTCTGTGGGTTGTGTTTTTACTCTGTTGGTTGTTTCTCTTGCTGTAGAGAAGCTTTTGAAATTGACACAATCCTATTTATTGATTCTCAGTCCTATTTCCTGTACAGCAGGGGTTCTGTTCTTATGACTTCAAGACTTTTGCCTAGTTTATCTGCCAGGAGGTTGTTTTTGTTTCAACCTTCAGTTCTTTGATCCTTTTTGATTTTTGCTTACTATGTGATAAGAGTGTAGACTCAGTCTTATGCATGTGGACGGCCAGTTTCCCTAACACCATGTATTCACGAGGCTGTCCTTCCTCTCGTATGTTTTTGGCCCCATTGTCAAAAATCAAATAGCTGAATGTGCTTGGGGTTGTTCATCCTGTTCTCTCCCGTTGGTCCCCGTGACTCGTTTTGTGCCAATATCATGCTGTTTGTATTGCTGTAATATGACGATTGTCATGCTTCCATGTTTGCCTTTGTTGCCCCAGATTGCTTTTGCTCTTCTCCATCTCATCTGCTTTCATATGAACTTTAGAATTATTTTTTCTAGTTCTGTGAAGAATGTTGTTGACATTTTAATCGTGATTGTGTTAAATCTGTGTATCAGTTTTGGAGCTTTGACTATATTGCTTCTAACTATTTAGAGACAAGGGATATTTTTTCACTTTCTAATGTGTTCTAGTTTCCTTTTTTAGCATGCTTTAGTTTTCACTGTGGAGCTTTTTTACTGAGGTCGTAAGTACTTAATTTTTCTTGGTGCTATTGTAAATGGGTTTTTTCCCATTATTTTTTCTTCAGTGAATTCTTTATTAGTATATAGAAACACTATTGATTTTGTATCCTGAGTCATTACTAAATTCAGTTATTAATTCTATGAATCTTTTGATAGATTTTTGGGGAATCTTCTGTATTGACGATC